TCAGCTCTACTGTTTCAGTTGGGTGAAACTGGAAAGGATTGCTTATATTTTTGAGTGCTATGGTTTTTAAAATTCTTTTAACTTCCTTTTTCTCAGGGGTTTGCAATCTATGGTCCACAGGCCAATTCCAGCTCATTACCTGGTTTTGTGAATGAGATTTTATTGTGCAAGACTGTCCTTGCCCACATGCCACCTCTGGGCACTTTCTGGGTGTAAGAGTTGAGTAGTTGGGGGAGAGAAGGCGGCAAAGATATTTACTCTACCTCCTTTATGAAGAGCTTGCTGACCCCTGCTTTATCTCATAGATGGTTGTATGAACATAGATAAAAGTCCCAGAGGCTCAGCCTCCAATCCAAAGACACACAGTAGGAGTCAAAAAAGTGATGTTTGTGGGAACCAGCAGTTAGTGTAATGACTATGTTGCTGGACTCCCACGTAGTTGACCGCGGTTCGCGGCCCGGACCCGGTGGCTTAAAACTCACGCCGGGCGCATGTACGTGTGTGCCCAAGATCCCGAGAGGAGATTGGAGGAGAAGGGATTGTGGCGTGCCCATCCCCTCTGGGGGGTGATTTCTCGCTTTCTGTCTCTCTGTCTCTCTCTGTCTGTCTGGCGAGCGCACACGCCCTATAACGAAAAACCTCTCAAAAAAAAAAAAAAAAGTGATGTTTGTGGGAACCAGCAGTTAGTGTAATGACTATGTTGCTGGACTCCCACGTAGTTGACCGCGGTTCGCGGCCCGGACCCGGTGGCTTAAAACTCACGCCGGGCGCATGTACGTGTGTGCCCAAGATCCCGAGAGGAGATTGGAGGAGAAGGGATTGTGGCGTGCCCATCCCCTCTGGGGGGTGATTTCTCGCTTTCTGTCTCTCTGTCTCTCTCTGTCTGTCTGGCGAGCGCACACGCCCTATAACGAAAAACCTCTCAAAAAAAAAAAAAAAAGTGATGTTTGTGGGAACCAGCAGTTAGTGTAATGACTATGTTGCTGGACTCCCACGTAGTTGACCGCGGTTCGCGGCCCGGACCCGGTGGCTTAAAACTCACGCCGGGCGCATGTACGTGTGTGCCCAAGATCCCGAGAGGAGATTGGAGGAGAAGGGATTGTGGCGTGCCCATCCCCTCTGGGGGGTGATTTCTCGCTTTCTGTCTCTCTGTCTCTCTCTGTCTGTCTGGCGAGCGCACACGCCCTATAACGAAAAACCTCTCAAAAAAAAAAAAAAAAGTGATGTTTGTGGGAACCAGCAGTTAGTGTAATGACTATGTTGCTGGACTCCCACGTAGTTGACCGCGGTTCGCGGCCCGGACCCGGTGGCTTAAAACTCACGCCGGGCGCATGTACGTGTGTGCCCAAGATCCCGAGAGGAGATTGGAGGAGAAGGGATTGTGGCGTGCCCATCCCCTCTGGGGGGTGATTTCTCGCTTTCTGTCTCTCTGTCTCTCTCTGTCTGTCTGGCGAGCGCACACGCCCTATAACGAAAAACCTCTCAAAAAAAAAAAAAAAAGTGATGTTTGTGGGAACCAGCAGTTAGTGTAATGACTATGTTGCTGGACTCCCACGTAGTTGACCGCGGTTCGCGGCCCGGACCCGGTGGCTTAAAACTCACGCCGGGCGCATGTACGTGTGTGCCCAAGATCCCGAGAGGAGATTGGAGGAGAAGGGATTGTGGCGTGCCCATCCCCTCTGGGGGGTGATTTCTCGCTTTCTGTCTCTCTGTCTCTCTCTGTCTGTCTGGCGAGCGCACACGCCCTATAACGAAAAACCTCTCAAAAAAAAAAAAAAAAGTGATGTTTGTGGGAACCAGCAGTTAGTGTAATGACTATGTTGCTGGACTCCCACGTAGTTGACCGCGGTTCGCGGCCCGGACCCGGTGGCTTAAAACTCACGCCGGGCGCATGTACGTGTGTGCCCAAGATCCCGAGAGGAGATTGGAGGAGAAGGGATTGTGGCGTGCCCATCCCCTCTGGGGGGTGATTTCTCGCTTTCTGTCTCTCTGTCTCTCTCTGTCTGTCTGGCGAGCGCACACGCCCTATAACGAAAAACCTCTCAAAAAAAAAAAAAAAAGTGATGTTTGTGGGAACCAGCAGTTAGTGTAATGACTATGTTGCTGGACTCCCACGTAGTTGACCGCGGTTCGCGGCCCGGACCCGGTGGCTTAAAACTCACGCCGGGCGCATGTACGTGTGTGCCCAAGATCCCGAGAGGAGATTGGAGGAGAAGGGATTGTGGCGTGCCCATCCCCTCTGGGGGGTGATTTCTCGCTTTCTGTCTCTCTGTCTCTCTCTGTCTGTCTGGCGAGCGCACACGCCCTATAACGAAAAACCTCTCAAAAAAAAAAAAAAAAAGTGATGTTTGTTGCCGCTCCACAATGGAGGGAACACAATCCAGGGAATCTTGTTGGAACCCCCTGGATTACAGAGCTGCCCTCAGCCCACACCGCCCCAGACAGATAACTACTGGGCACTAACAGCTATAGCGTCCTCTGTCCACCCGCTCCTTCACCTCATCTCGTCCCGTACAGATGAACTAGCCAGCATGTGTGTACCCCCGAGTCAGG